CAGCCCAGGTCCAGTCTATGTCTGTAATATCTCGGGCCTACAGCCCTATACTCTTTATAACATCCGAGTGGTGGTGGTCTATATGACAGGAGAAAACAGCTCCTTGAGTCCAGAGAGCTTCAAGACAAAAGGTGGGTATCAGCATCCTCCTCAAGCAGCGCAGACATCTCTACTCCATACACATCTCCAAATTCCACCAGCCCAAGTCTAGAAGCACACATGCTTTCTTCAAAAAATAATTGTATCTACTTTTAATGTATGTATGTTAGTGTTTGTGTATATATGTACACTGCCTGTGTACCTGGTGCAGTTACTAAGTACTGAAGTTAGACAGACGAGGGTGCTGGGTCTCCTGGGTCTGTAGGTGGAGTTACACATGACTATGAGTCACCATGTGGGTGCTGGAAACAGAACCCGGGTCCTCTGCATGACTAGCAAGTGTTCTTAGCCTCTGAGCCTTCTCAGATGTTCTCCCTACAGGGTCATTACTATGTCTGTAGTGTAAATTACTGAATAGAAGAGTCAGGAGTAGTTATAGGAAGGACCAAGAATGTCCTGGTTTGGTTTATTTATTTATTTTTTTCGAGATAGGTTGTCTCTGTGGCTTTGAAGCCTGTCCTGGAACTAACTCTTGTAGAGCAGGCTGGCCTCGAACTCACAGGCCTGCCTTTGCCTTCCCAGTGCTGAGATTAAAGGCGTGCTGCCTGGCTCTGGTTTGGTCTTTTAGGATCCTGAGATGGGCAAAACAATTTCTTCTTTCAGTTTTCTGTTCTCCTCTCTAGTTATATTGTGTTTCGTAGCAAGAACTATATGAAATGGGATAGCTGTATGCTCAAGAAACAGTCACAAAGTAACTTTTGTCGTTCAAATGCTAAAATGAAAAAAAAAAAGCAAAACTGAACCCCACACCTTTCTTCAGTTAACATTCTGAATACCATAACTCCAGATTGACTCCTGCAAGGGTCGAAGGCAAAATGCTCCAAAACTGTGATGGTTTTTTGATTTGTACTTATTGATTATTCTGTATCAAGATGAGATCTGTGATTAATTTTCCCACTAACTAGCTAACCTATCACTAATGAAAGCTTCAGATACTCACTGAAAAATCTGTGCTTCAGGGCTGGGGAGACAGCTCTAGCAGGTAGAGTTCTTGCTATGTGAGTCTGAGTGCCCAAGTTCAGTCTCCAGAGCCCACACCGAAAATCTGAATATGACAGAGTGTTTGTGATCCTAGTGCTATGCAGGTGGAGACAGGTGGATTTCTGGGGGTAGCCCATTGGGTGAGCACCAGATCACAGTGTGGGTGCTTCCTGAAAACCAAAACTTGAGGTTGATCTCTGCTATCTACACACATAAACACATGTACACACACACAAACACACATACACACACAGACTTTGCATCTGAATATTTCTTTAAAACATTTCTCTTTTTTCAATGTATCCCAGAGAAAGAGAGTCAATGCCAAATATCTTTTATTTCTGACATGTCAGTCAATTCTCTTTTTATCTCCCATGAAGCTGGAGTCCCAAGCAAACCAGGCATTCCTAAGTTACTAGAAGGGAGTAAAAATTCAATCCAGTGGGAAAAAGCTGAAGATAACGGCAGTAGACTGATGTACCATATCCTTGAGATCAGGTACGTATCAAACGATGCTTTGGGTACCACAAAGAGATAAGCAGTTAATTACGAGCTGGTCAAAAGGGATAATTTTGTCGAAGTACATTTATATTTCAAAATGAATCAATCTTTACGGACTTTTGTATGTTTCACTATGTTCTTTGCTCAATTCCTAGCATCAGTTTTGATCTTCTAATGATGAAACACACCACATAGTTCTCAGAAATCTGCCACTTCTCATTCAAACTTCACAGAAACCGCTCCATCATAGCTCATGCCATCGATATTTACTTACTATCCACTCTGCTTATAAAGCTGAGCCAGTGTTGGGTGTCAGATGACAAATACCTGTAAACTTCTGATGTATATCTATATAATCTCAATATATCATATAATATATCTAAATTATACACACACACACACACATATATTAACAATGTTAAATGTCCTCAGGTGAAAACTGGCAAAAAGCTATATGTTGTCTTCAGAATCAGAGTCTAAAGAAAGGGCTGGAATCATCATTCCATGTCAATAGGTTTATGGGCTTCTCTATCTCTCTGAGGTTAGCAGTTTGAATGTGTTTCCAGAGGCCGAGAAAGTGCTGTCAACTAAAACCAGCAGCTGAGAAGCACGCATCCCCTTAGACCCAGCCAGTTTGAGGAGCTCAGCGAGGGAACTGGCCCAAAAGGACCGACTCCATGCCAGCTCGAGGGGAGAGTTCCAAATACCCAAGACACTCCCCTCACGGGACTATGAAGCCATCCTTTAAGAGGCTCCAAGGACAAAAGTCACCTCCATAATTATAGTCCTGGCAACTTGAGCTTTAGGTCTATTTTTGCCTCGTCTCATTCTGGCATCCCTAGAACCTCAGAAAATTTCCTGCTCACATTAGAAGATTCTCTTGGCTTTGTTTTCAGTCAAAACCTTCAGGAAACACTTTGTCACTGTTTCTCATGCGCAGTAAAATATGTCCTTAGTGGAAGCATCTTCGTGGCCTGGGACTATAACAGTGTGGAGCATCCAGGCCACAGCATTGTTTTTGCTAGGACCCCTTAGTGTGTTCCTCTGAGTAAGACCTTAAGTTTTAATTAGGCATCCTTTTGCCCTGGATCTCAACTATTGGCACTAAAGTATTATCACTATAGGACAGGAGAAGTATTGTCACTGAGTCAACTCTTTAGAAAGTTGGACTAGTTAGTCTAATTAGTTAGTCTGAGTCTAGTTAAACTCTATTTTTTATCCCCACCCATACCTAGTATTGGAGACTGAACCTAGAGCACACTAATCAAGAACTGTACCACCGAATCGCATGACAAGCTACCCTTTAACTTCTTGAGATCAGAGTCTCACTAAGTTGTCTAGACTGACCTTGAACTTGCTCTACAGCCTGGTTATAATGTGGACTTGTGATCTTCTTGCCTCGGCTGTTAGAGCAGTGGGGAAAGTATACCAGTTTGGTAACTTAAGCCACAGAAATTTCCTCTTACAATTCAGCTGACTAGACATCTGACTTCGGGTTGGGCGATGGTGGTTTACACCTTTAATTCCAGCACTGGGGAGGCGAAGGCAGACAGATTTCTGAGTTTGAGGTGAACCTGGTCTATAGAGTGAGTTCCAGGACATCCAGGGCTACATAGAGAAACCTTGTCTTGAAAGCAAGACAAAACAACAACAACAACAACAACAACAACAACAAAACAAAATAAAACACACATAGAAAAAGTCCGACACAAGGGTGTAAGGAGGAGCACACTCCCTTCTGACTTTCTAGGGAAGACTCCTTTCCCACCTTGTCTCAGCTTCTTGCACTGGGCCTGATCCCCTTGGTGTTGTTTGACTTGTATATGTATCTCACTCCAGCATCACATACTCTATTTTATGTATCTGGGCTCACCCTTCCCTTTTCTAAAAGAGTACTAGACATTGAACCTTCACTTAGCATGTTTTCATCTTAAGGTGACATGTGCCATGACCTTATTTCTAGTCAAGGTCACGTGCATAGGCTGACTGGGTATTGATTGCAAGAGTAGAGGGATGTCACTAATTCCAGTTACTAACTGTATTTAGGTCCTCACTGGTTTACTTTTTCTGGAACGTTTTTCTTACCTGTGGAATGGAAATATTGATGTCTCTCTGTTTCTTTGGGCTGTTGTGAAGACTCAGTGAGACCAAAGACACAGCAAACTCCACTGTGTTGCATTCTAAATAGAAGGTGCTCAACTTATGTCAATGTTTCCATAGCCTTTGTCCTCCAGTAGCTCTGGAGAGTCATTTCACTCCTTCCTAGAGGGTTTTATGGCTTAAAATCAAAGCCATAAAATTCATTTTTATCAAACAATGAATGTAATTGCCATAACTTACCCCAAGGCTTCACAAAATATAAAAGCAGAATGGCATAATGCTGTGACCTGAGAAGGTTCAGACCCCGTGTTCTTCCTTGACAGAGAGGACACAATTGGAAGACCATGAGTTTGCCTTTGGTCAATGATGTTATTAAAAGCCATTCTAGCTGGGTAGTGGTGGTGCACACCTTTAATCCCTGCACTCAGGAGGCCGAGGCAGGCAGATCTCTGTGAGTTCGAGGCCAGCCTGGTCTACAAGAGCTAGTTCCAGGACAGGAACCAAAAAAGCTACAGAGAAACCCTGTCACGAAAAATAAAAAAAAAAAAAAAAAAAAAAAAAAAGAAAGAAAAAAAGCCATCCTAGTTTATTCTTTATGAACTCAGCTATTGTTTTATAGGAAGATCAATGTGGGCTGACTTTGAGGAAATAATGAATCTTAGAATCTCATATATATTGATAACTTTGGTGGCTGAACTATGTTTATAATCAACTTATTAAAGTATTATAATATTATCTTTCAATTTTAAATTCTGTATTTTAGCCACATATAGCATAAGTCAATTATAAGTGATACAGGAGTGATGTAGGAGGGTCTTCTATCTATCTGTTGCTTTCATTGGTTAATTAAAAAAGAAAACTGCTTGGCCTGATAGGTCAGAACATAGGTAGGCGGGGAAGACAGAACAGAATTGTGGGAGAAAGAAAGCAGAGTCAGGCAGACGCCATGAAGCTCCAGTCCAGTGGGGTTAGAATCTTCCTGGTAAGCCACCACCTCGTGGTGCTACACAGATTATTAGAAATGGGTTAATCAAGATGTGAGAATTAGCCAATAAGAGGCTGGAACTAATGGGCCAGGCAGTGTTTAAATGAATACAGTTTGTGTGTTGTTATTTCCCGGGCTAAGCTAGCCGTGCAGAAGCCGGGAGGTACAAAAAGCAGGCCTTCTCGCCTTATCACTATGCAGGAGACTTGAAAATTTAAAAACATAAGCTAAGTATTGTGTTTATGTCTGTAATCCAAAAGTATAAAAACAAAAGGTCTGAAGGATCATATGTTCAAGACCATCCTAGCTGCATCAATATCTCTGTTTCAAAAACCCAGCCAACCAACCGACCAAACAAAGGAGATAGCTCAATGGGTAAGAATACTTACTCTGCAATCAGGAGGACCTGAGTGTTAACCCCCAGAACCCATACAAAGGCCAGGTGTGGCTGTGTGCATGTTTTTAATAGCAGCACTATGACAGGTGGAGACAGGAAGATCTCTGGGGCTTGCTGGCTACCAGTGTCACTTCTGGTTTAGTGAGAGACCCTGTTGCAAGAAAGTAAGGCAGAGAGTGATAAAGGCAGAATGCCCCATGTTTTCCTTTCACTTTTGCTACACATGGAGAGCTGTGCACACACATGTACATATGCACCACACATACATGCAGGAGCAAAAAGATCAAAAAAGAAAAAGAAAAGGAAAAAAAGTGCAAACTTTCTAGCTAAAGAAAGGTGAAGAAGTAATTATATGTTTGAAGTTCAGCAGTTTCCTGCATTTTAAACAGCAGGAACGGGGCCATCAGCTTTCTCTTTGCCGTTGATTCTTCCTTACTCTTCTGATGGACGGAGTTGGTTTGCTTGTGAATTGCCAAGACTTTGATAAATGTGCTCTCTTCTGCAGAAAATCAAACAACAAAAATAAGGCCAAGGGTCAAGTGTGTGCTAAGTGGTAAGAGACTAGAAAGAACAGCACGTTGTCCTGTGTGCTGTAGACGACTGTTAATCTACTGATTTTTTTTTTTTTCAGAAAGGGCACTTCAAGTGATTCCCAGAACCAGAGTTTACGGTGGAAGATGGTGTTTAATGGCTCCTGCAGTAGCATCTGCACGTGGAAGTCCACAAACCTGAGTGGACCGTTTCAGTTCCGAGCAGTGGCTGCAAATAATATTGGGTTTGGAGAATACAGTGGAATCAGTGAGGATATTATGTTAGTGGAAGGTATATTAACATATCTGTCGATGTACTAGTTTGTTACATAAATGTTTAGTGGCAATGATTGATATAGTCTTAATATTAGCCACAGATATAGTGGCCGAATAGCTATTCATACAAACTATTGAAGGGTTCAGTTTATTTGGTGTATTCTTAAAGCATCGTTCTTATCTTGTTACTTTGCTTCTCTGTAAATAAGCAGCCACTCTGAATGTCTGTGATCCCAATTCCATTCTCTTTCACAGACTTCCAAGACTGTCCGTAATCTGGCCTTTAATCTATCCAACCATCATATTTGCTTCCTAGTGCTCTCTTACATAAGAGTCTTAGGACTACTCTGTCTTCCTTCTTATCTGGCTGTTCCCCTGTGTATCCTACTTTAGGTTGTGCATTATCTTTCTAAACACCCAGCGTTCCAATTTGCCTCCTATTACCATGGCAAAACACTGATCATAATCATCTTGAGGATGAAAGGGTTTATTTGACTTATAGGTCATAGCCCACTGTCAAGGGAAGCCAAGTAAAGCAGGAACTCAAGATGGGAACCCAGAGGTAAAATCTGAAGCAGAAATCACAGCTTGCTGTCTGGCTTTTTGGCTCACATCCCTGTGGTTATCTTTCTCATGCATCCTGTGCCAAGTTGCCTGGGGTTGGTACCACTGTGGGCTGGGCCATCTTGTATCAACTGGAAATCAAAAGATGACCCCACAGACATATCCATAGGCATTTGATAGAGGTAATTATTCAACTGTGGGTTTCTATTCCCAGGTATGCCAAAGTGGACAACAAAACTAACCAGGATTTATATGCCGGAAACTTTAGTGACACATTTGATTTGCCCTATTATAAAGTCAACAACTTCAATTGATTTTGAAGAGAAACATATCAATTTCTCATATTAAAAATTACATTTATTTCTTTGTATATATGTGTGCATAGGCATTTTCCTGCCATAGTAATGTGTGTACAGGTAGAGAATAACTTTTAAAAGTTGGTTCTCTCCTGCTACATGGGCCACAGTGATCAAACTCAAATTGCCAGGCTTGGTGGCCAACACCTTTACCCAAGGAGCCATCTTGCTGGCACATCATCTTAATGTTTCCACCTGTTAGTCCACATTGGCTTTCTTGATTTCAGGTGTCTTTTCTTGCCTGAGCTCTCAGCTCTACCACATCCTTGACAGTTTAGCTGAAGACAAGCTTGAGGCTGTTCCCATCATTGAACAATGTGAAATGGCTCCATTTCCTGATTTCAGTGTGGTGTGTGGAGCCTCCTGGGACCTGCCCCTCAGGGGTTCATTTTCCTAGCATTGGTCCCTGTGATATAACAGCCTTTGTAATTAGGTCTTTGACCTGTAGTTCCTTCAGCCTAAATGACCAGCCTGCACTATCTCCCATGCATCCCTTACGTGGGATTTCCCCTTTGCCATTGGTATTGTTTAAATATCTTGTTTCTGAGCACATTGCATCTTAGTCTTTATTCCTATACAATATCACTAGGACCTTCTTGTCTTTGCTTTCTTACTGCATTTGTTTTAAGTGTTACTTTTCCTACATGAACTGTAGTAATTATAGTAGGTCTGATTCTCAATATATATATCATATATATAGGAAGTAGCACCTTGATTTATATTCTTCAACAAAACAGATTTTAATTATGTGGTCTGTTCTCATCTGTCTGCTGGGAGTTTTCTTTTTCTCTTCGTGTGTGTGTGTGTGTGTGTATGTGTGTGTATGTGTGTGTATGTGTGTGTATGTGTGTGTATGTGTGTGTGTGCACTTGAGAATCAAACTCTGGACTTTGCAAGTGTAAAGTAAGTACTTTGTGACTGAATTACATCTTCATGAATGACAGGAAATTTAATCTTACTCATCTCTTTCATGTCTAGATTCTTACTAGCGTATGTTAATTATAAATACTAATGGGCTTCACTGTGATATTTTCACACAAATAAATAATGTATCTTAATCATAGTCACTCCATTACCGTCACACATCCCCTTCCTACCACCAGCCTTTCATTTTCAGTCCTAACTTAAACGAACCCATTGTCATGCATAATTGCTGTACAGTAGGCAAAATGAATTATTTGCATTTTACACCTATATTTCACATGAAACATCATTTATTCTTGGTCATTAAGATGGCACTTGCTGCCAAGTCTGTAACCTGAGTTTATTCCCTAGCATTCCCATGGTAGTAGAAGAAAACCATTTCCCACAAGCTGTTCCTGACCCGGGCAGGCAAATACATGCATATATACATATATGCAACGCACACAAATAAATGCAAAAGAAAAGCTGTAATCAAAAGTGTCCAGGAGAGCTGGCTCAGCAGTTTAGTGAGTTCACTCGTGCAGAGGACCTGGATTTGATTCCCAGCACCCACAGGGTGGCTCACAGCTCTCTGTAACTCGTGATTCCCCAGGAATTTGATACTCTCTTCTGACCTCCACAGAAACTTCACGCATGTGGTGCACAGATGTACATGAGGACAAATTACTCATACACATAAAATTAAAAGACAAACTGCCATCTTTATTAATTATATTATAGTCAGTCAGTTAGTGCTTACCAAGATAGTTCCTGACAAGAGTCAAGTTGTAAATGGTGTAGGTTTTGCAGCTTCTGTCTGTTCTCTGTAGCTACCTCCTCTCCTTCGTCCTCCTCTTCCTCTTCTTTTTTTTAAACTCCCTCTTTTCTTTCTTCTAAAATATCTTAAAAATGTAAAAATTATTCTTAGCTCACTGGCAGTTTTAGAAAGCTGCATTCAGGTTTGCCCCACAGACTGCGGTCTGCACATGTGTTTCCTCTGTGGACAGTGTATGAAAGACATTCTGCCTTACTTTCATGTTGGTATTCCTTAGATTAATGTCTGTGGAGTTAAATGGGTGTGGACATATAAATTAAAATAATAAATCTGTTATTTGTTTAATATATGAAGATAAAGACTCCTTTGTCCCGAATTCCTTATAAAGAAGCACACAGGCTTTCTTAGTCATCTTAAAATAGATTGGGTGGGTTGCTTCAGCAAGATTATGGCAAAATAACAAAAGGAAGAGTAACTTTCTTCTGGGTACATGTTCTCCACCTAGTTGGTTTCTAACTGCCAACTGCTAAACCACTGGCTGGTAAAAACCTCAGAAAAGCTGGCTCCTGCTAACCAGTGTGTTCATGCTTGGGAAGAAGTAGAATCCTTTAGCTTTTTGTGTGTGAATTAATTTATTTTCCCTTTTATATCCTTAGATGGTTTTTGGATAACAGAAACAAGTTTTATACTTACTGCCCTAGTTGGTATACTTCTGGTCACTACAGTCCCACTGACCTTTGGTGAGTATTCTAGACTTTACAAGCAGGTATTAAATTGTTTATTAGATCTTGCTGACTGATTTATTTTTCAGTTTATCTCATTCCTACATGAAACACAAGCTGATTAAATACGTTAATAAAGTTCACAGCATTTCTCTTGACTGTCTTTTCACAGTTACTCACTCCTATGATTTTTTATTTTTAACCAAGGGATGCATTTGTATTCTTTCACGTAAAGGTTTATTTTGGCTCATAATTTTGAAGGTTCATGAGCAAGTGGTGCCTTGCTCTGGGAGTGTGGCAGCCCTTCATGGCAGGGGTATGATGTAGTAATGTCCTCATCTCATAGTTAGGAAATAAAGGGAAAGAGAAAGGATCTGGGGTCCCACATCACCTTCAAGAACATGTCCCCAGTGACAAGACTTCACGTTAGACCCTAACCTCTGTGTTCCAAGGACTTCAAGCTGAAGAGGAAGGCTGTAACACATGCATCTTTGAAGAATATTCTGGGTCCAGACCACAGCATGGGTTAGCTATCTGGTGGCAAATACTTCAGTATATACATTTGATAGAATCCTTGAGATGCAACTGTTTGTGAAGACACTTTATTTTAGCTTTCTGTAAAATAGCACATGGTTCTGATTAGTTATTGCAAGTGTTCTGTGGCTTGTAGGCTAGAATATAAATAAAAGAGAGGCAGCCAAAAATACAAAAACAGCGCAGGATTAATGGAAGGCCAGTGACAGTCAGTAGTTGGAATAGCTTTGGTCCCCTGGCAGACAGCTTAGTTGGGAATGAACGGGGCCTCTCAAGTTGACCCATTTCTGGGCTGTGAGACTCACTCTTGCTTTCTGACAACTGATAGGCTTAGTCAAAATCCCTGATCATTTTCTAAGGACCCCAAAGCAGCAGGATTATGTCAGATAGCTGTTTCCCATTATTAATTTTATGTTAATATGATATTCCTTAAAGATCTACCACTTTTTAATGTTTATTTTAATTATGGTTAAAAACACAGAAAACCCACAATAGATGGTAAGAAGTTGGGCCTGGAGGGTTATTACCATGATCATACACTCTTCCGTGTTCCTGCTGCATAATACATGCTAACATCACATTTGTTCGGTTCCCCACGTATCTTGGTTTGGTTAGAAGATTTCTGAGTCTTCCATCTACCGCTGATATACCAAGAGCATCCCCCTGCCCCCAGGATGGTAAGACGAGCATGATACCAGAAAAGAAATCCCAGCACATATTCAGGAAGCTGCGACTTACTGTGTTTAGAAAGTAAGAGAAAGTGACAAGGTTGCGTTCTCTCTGGGGAAATAAAGCTATGATGTAATTCAGTTTTCCCAATCACTATTCTTTTTCCAGAGTGACTGAAGGTAAAAAGGTCTCAGACAACATTTTGAACTTGAACTGAGGTTATTCTTCCAGATAACACATGCGACGGCTCTAGCTAAGTGGGGAAGCTAGATATTTCAGTGGAGCCTGCCAGGGTTTTAACCTGTGGTTCCAGGGAGTCTGCCTATCACACAGCTGATGTTTGTGCCGCTAAGCCAGTCCCTCCAGAGTTACTTGTCTGACCGTGGTATATTCGGCAGTTGGCATATTGGCTTGACTTCCTGTCTGCTTCCTGCTGGTGGGCGTGTAACATGAGGAACCCTTCATCTCTCCTTTGCCTGCCTACTTTTCTCCATCACCACTACATGAACCCATGACACTAGTGGATGAACATGAGAACATTTCAATGTTTTGTGTGCTTTTGAGACATCCTGTGGCTATCTGGCTTTCTCAGGACTTAAAGGTCTTTATTGTGCTTGGAATTTGTTGTGATCTGGGGGGAGTAGCTAAGTTAATTTAGTTTTTGCTTCTCTTAGTAGTGCATGTGGTTGTAGCGGTAGTAATGGGCGAGGGCATGAGAAAAGACTAAGTTATTAAAATAGCGAAAAGTAGCAATTCTTTAGGAATTTCCTTGTTCCGAGGGCTCTGTAAAATTGAAACAAAGGCTTAAAAATAAGTCCTGGCAGCTTGTGGGTTGGCGAGAGGTCATACCTGATCCGCAGCATGAGCCTTGTGCCAGGAGAAGGGGAAGTTGTAAACTGTAATCAGTGACCTCAGGAGACTGTCCTGTAATAATGGTGGGAAGACATATCTGCATGAGAAGTTGCAGCAGGATGTTATAAGTGACACGAAATGCCGGCGACCCTGGCATGGAAAGAGCACCGGCAGTCACAGTTGGCCTTCCAGGGTCACTGATGAGAGATGAGCAGAGTCGGTAGAGAATGAGGTGGTTCCATCACTGAGGATGCAAGGGTGAGAGCAAGTGAGGCTTAGGGAGAAGTGCTTCAGGAAAGGGGCTGGAGACGCTCCTGTGCGGACCCTCGGATGGAATGTCACAGAGTGAAATTCTAATGTCTTAGATACGCGGGGGAACTTTATTGGTTGCTTTTGTTTTGTTTTGAGACAGAGCTGACTAATTGTGGAACAGGCTGCTCCTGCTGCCTCAGCCTCCAACTTTGCAGAATATTGTTGTAAACCATTGTGTGAACGTTTAAATTTTATTAATCATTTATTAAGCATTTCTGCTGATTTTGACCCCTGTACCAATATACACCACAAACAGGTGATCTTACTGACATAATTATATTTTCATCTTTATCAAAGAATGTCTTGTGAACATTATAAAATGTGAAAAGGGCGGGGGGGGGAGTACAAATCACTCATGATTCTACAAGTAGATAGGACCAAGGCTGTTGTTTGTTGGAGCAAATTTTCTACAGACGTATATGAACAACAGATACGCATTACTTTGAACGTATTTCTGTTTCTGTAGTGCAGGAAGAAGGTATCCAAGAACACTTTGAATAGAGTTGAACTTTTGTTTTAAGGAGTCCACCAGGTAGCACGTGGAACTCCTTCAACTTTAGGGCAGCTAAACGTTTCAGAAGATGTCTAAGAGTTTAACCAGTGATTCTAGAATCTTAAGTATTGCACAGCTGTCTCTCTCTCTCTCTCTCTCTCTCTCTCTCTCTCTCTCTCTCTCTCTCTCTCTGTATATGTGTGTACTTATGCAACCATGTGTATATGTGGAGGGCAGGGGTCAGTGTCAGAAGTCTTTTTCTATCCTGATACATTTTAATTCTTTGAGACAGTCTGTCACTGAACCTGGAGGCCACTGATCAGCTAGGCTGTCTGGCTAGCAGGTCCCCAAGAGCTGCCTGTCATGGACCTCTACCTGCAACACTGGGGTTACATGTATGTGCTACACCCAACTTTTACATGGGTTCTGGGGATCTGAACCTGGGTCCTCATGCTTGCGCAGCAGGCACTTTGTCCACTGAGTCATTACCCCCGCTCAGATACACACACACACACACACACACACACACACACACTCACACACACACACACACACATTTGTACCATATGCATCACACTGGAAACATTTTACACTTGACCTCAGCCGAAAGGCTGGGCAGAGATCAACTGAAAACATTTTAAATGTGCTATTGTATTGGAAGCATTCCTTCAAACCTGCTGGCATATGATGAATGGTTGGAATGTCAGGATGCAGAAGTAAGTTTGCTTCATTAATAATTATTCTGCAAGCTTTGGAACTTTGTTTGGTTCTAGCTTACAGTTAATTTTGAGAAATGCATTTTAATAATATACTTCAAAAATTATTTGTAGTGTAACAGGAGGAGTGGGCTGCTTGTCATCCCGGCCACCCGGCTATTTTACACCTGAAATAGCACACAGAAACTGTATTCATTTAAGCACTGCCTGGCCCATTAGCTCTAACTTCTTATTGACTAATTTTTACATCTTAATTTATTTCTATTAATCTGTGTATCACCATGTGACTGTGGCTTACCCGCAAGATTCTAACCAGTGTCCGTCTCAGGCAGTAGATCCATGGTGCCACTCTCCCCTTCTTCCCAGCATTCAGTTCTGTCTATTCTGTCTACCTAGGTTCTGTCCTATCAACTAGGCCAAGGCAGTTTCTTTATTCATTATTCAATGAAAGCAACACACAAACAGAAGGAACTCCTATGTCATTCGTAGTATTAAGAAATATAGTAAGCTTTACGATTTAAAGTGTATAAATTGTATAGGTTTTATATGGAATTTTACCAAAATTTAATTTAAAAATTGTTATGGCAGTATTTTAAAGTCAAATGTTGTTATTTTCTCTCAACAGTGTTCACACACATATGTGCACCTAAAACATAGCAACATTTTTTTTAAGGGGGAAAAAATCTCAATAATTTACTTGGTAAATTGTCTGTTTTCTTTACAGTCTGGTATAGGAGCTTGAAAAATCACAAAGCTTCCAAGGAAGGGCTGTCAGTTCTCAATGAAGACGACAAAGAGTTGGCGGAGCTGCGAGGTCTGGCAGCTGGAGTAGGACTGGCCAATGCCTGCTATGCAGTACAGTATGTGACTCATGCCATCTTCTTAGATCGCATAGGTTGAGTGTGGACCCAGTATCAAGGGTGTCCACACATCGCACATTTCCCAGGGTTCTTTGGGCATCACTGTCAGTAACTTTTGCTTCTAATCTCATATGTGGTTTGGGACAAATGGTGACGTATGCTGTAGACAGACGGCTCTTTCCTGCCTGCCAGTTCCTCAATAACCACTCTGAAGCTTAATACTAATTACAAACTGTTTGGCCTATTAGCTCACACTTATTATTTACTAGCTTTTACATCTTAAATTAACCCATTTCTATTAATCTATTTTTACCACGATGGTCGTGGCTTGTTACCTCACATCTTGCTTCTCTAGGTGCTGCTGGCATATGCCTGATAGCCTTCTTTCTTCCTGCATCTCTGTTTGGATTTCCCACTTAGCTATATTCTGTCCTGCTATAGGCCAAAGCAGCTTCTTTATTAATCAATGGAAAGAAAACATATTCACAGCACACAGAGGGGCATCCCACATCATCTGTGGTTACCCTTAAGAGAAATACAAACACATTGCCTTCTATTTCTTAATCATGTGTTTAAAAAACCAACTTAAGAAGGAGAAATGTAAAAAAAAAAAAGGAGAAATGTATCACTTTGAAAAGACTAAATGACTGAGAAGGGAGAATGTCCTAAAAGTCTTGCATGTATCTTCCTATTCTATTATGGAAGCTGTATGATGTTTGCCTATAGTGTCCCTGTAAGAAAATGAGTTCTAAACTTTATTATTAAGGAAATTAAATATTTCTTTACACAAGACACTCTGCCATGCTCTTTGTAAAAAGAATCCTATGGTCATAGGCCTTGCTTGCTGAAATCTACAAAACAGGATTTAAAATAGATGCATAATACAGAAACGAACCAAACCAGCTCTTCAGAGGAGAGGTTTTTTTTTTTTTTTTTTTTAATACACTGTGCATCTGATAATTAAGATTCTTGCTGAAGCTGGAGAAATGGCTTAGTGGTAAAGAGCACTGACTGTTCTTCCTGAGGACCCAGGTTCAATTCCCAGCACCCACACGGCAGCTTACAACTGTCTGTAACTCCAGTTCCGGGTGATCTAACACCCTCACTCATGCACAGAGAGACAAACACGCAAGCAAAGCACCAATCAATGCACATAAAATAAAAGTAAATGAATCATCTTTTAAAAAATATTCTTGCAAACAGAACAAAACAGAACTCAAAGTGTACTTAATGTAGATTAAGTAGCAATGCCATAATATCCCA